ACTTGTCCGCAACTTTCAACTCGGGAACCACAAAAGCTGGGAAGCTGAAAATTTAGGGGAACGTTCTCTACCCACGTGCGACCCCGCAAATTTAAATTCAGCTTCCCCGTACCCGCGGGTAACACGTATGGCCCCGTAAAAGTGTTTTACAGGCAAATTAATATCTCGGGAACCACGGAGTTTAAGAGGCTGAAATTTTAGGTAATGATCCCCTGCCCACGCTCAACCTTGCCAGTTCAAATTCAGCATTCCCGCGTTCTTGAGTATCACCTAAGGCCTTATGAAAATTTTGACGGGTAAACTATTAACTCGGGAATCACGGAAAGATATTCACCTTTCAAGGTTTCGGATTCGGCTTTCATGCGCTGGTGCGTAAAGTTCTTAAATGTTTTCCAATGTTTGAACTATTTTTGCACGGACTAAAGTACAAAGCAGTGAAAATCATTAATAGGCAATCGTTCGTTGGGCTGAATTGCACAAACGCATGATCGCACCGGCCTGAGTTTTTTGTACTGTGTGCTTGTTCTTCTCTGAGGTCAAAAATCCCTTCCCCCGTATTTCGCTCTCAGTAAGAGATGAAGGCATTCGGGAAGTAGCGCAGTAGTAGTAAATGTCAGTAGCAACCACACGTTCACAAGGCTGTCGATGGTTGCTTAAAAGCGAGCTTATGGTCGGTTTAACTCCTTAGCATATGCCAGTACCAATTTACCATCGAGACGAATCGTAAAGGGACTAGTTATCTCATCGGCAGAGTCGAACCTTCGACCTACTGCTGCACAACAGCAGTACTACCCCCGCTGCTAAATGCCTGTCGATCTCCTTTAAAGTATCGGGTGAAAATTGGCGGTATTGATGTCGTATTCAGTTCTCTTACGGACCCTCATACTGCTTCTGTTATTTCAAACTCCTTGATTGATTGCCAGCTCAGGTCTGCAGTGGCGCCGGACCAAGCTCTTGTTCGGCACGGAATCTATCCAAACCCTGTGTGACACCGACTTGAACTCACCTTTGACTTAAGCTCGGGTCAAATATTTTATCGAAGGAGGCCCGCTCTGATCCATGGAGTAGATCAAGCTTGACCTAGTTCCAGACTTGGTTTACTCCTGCCTCGCACTGCTTAGGACTGGGCTTACCGTTAAGATTTCAAATTCAGCTCTCGCGCATGCCTACATCATGCTTACAATCACCTGAAAGCTCGCACTTTAGCACCGCGCAAGCCTGAAAACTAGCCAGAAAACAGTAGCTTTAATCAGTCAAAACCTACCAGCCACTAAAAGCTTGGCCATTTGTCTGCACATATTGTATAGGCGCTTAAAAGTTTTTTTTTTTTTTTTTTTTTGATGAACTTTGTTTGTGTGGAAATGAATATGATTGCAGGGAGGCATGTCGCGGAACATCGTCCGCAAATCGGATATTGGTGCGCCGCCGGCGCGGATGTCAGCCGGAGCGCCGCCTAGTCTTCCTGTACGCCGAGTTTCACGAGGTATCGTACGATTCGTATTTGTTCTTCAGATTCTGAAAAATTTATTTATTTTGAAAAATTTATTTATTTATTTATTTTTTTTTTTTTAGGGATTTAGGGTTTTTTTGTGAAACAAGATAACTTAGAGTCTTTTATGAGACACTTTCTTAAGAGTTCTATGAAGTAATGTGGTGTACTGTTTGTTGTGAGTGCATTCTACGCTTGGTGTTCGATTAGCCAAATTTTATCCATAATCTGGATTGCCTTAAGGAGGTTGCGTAGATGGACAAGCAGACCGATGAAGTAACAGGTACTCCGGGCACTGATTCCCTCCTCTCAACTCGAATTTCACTTTCTGTGAGAAGCAGAGGCATGCGGAAGTATGCCGGCTGGTGGTGTAATGCTAAAGAGGCGCAATAGCGGCCCAGTCGAAGGCAGGGCGCCCGCCAATGGCTCAACCATTCGAATTCTGCGTAAAATCAATTTAATGGCGGCTTTAGCTTAGAAAAATGCTATTACTGATTGAATATCGAGACGAGTGAACGGATCGCGCAGGCAGAGGGTATGAAAGAAGGATGGTTTTTATGCATTTCGTGCTGTAACAGTTACACATAACGCATATTATGGTGTGTGTTTGTGTGTGTGTGTGAAGTGCATTTTATCCGGTATTTTCAACTCCGGAACCAGAAAATCTAGGAAGCTGGAATTTTAGTAGAATGCTCCCCAGACAAATGCGACCCCGGAGACTTAAATTCAGTCTTCACGTACCCCCGGGTACCGCATACGACCACGCGAAAGTTTTGACGGTAAGAACTAATATCTCGGGAACCACGAAAATTGGAGGGCTGAAATTTTAATAAAATGTTCCTCGCCCACGTGCGACCTAACGAATTTAAATTCAGCCCTCAAGTACCCCGGGTACCACGTACGACCCCGCGAAACTTTTGACTGCGAAAATTAATATCTCGAGAGCGAGAAGAGCTGAGGGGGGGGGGCTGAAAAATTCAACAGGATTTTTTCTACTTATGTACAACAAATTTAAACTTAGTTCCCAGCTGTGATGAGGTATCGAGTACAACCACGTGAAATTTCTGGCGCCAAACTTACTCGGAAGTCAGAGGACTAGGAGGTTAAAATTTTGCATCAATTTTCCCTGTCTGAGGTTTCAAATTCACGCGTACGTTTGCGTTTTACGTGCTGATGCTTTAAATTTTTTATGGGAACTTCGCAGCTTAGGAACTAAACAGCATATTGGGCATTTTTTTAGAGGTCAAAGTATAAAACTGTGAAAATCCATAGACGGCAAATGTCTATTACTCGAAACTGCACGAAATGTATGATCGCACCAGCTACCCTGGTCAGCGTCGCTATTTCTTTCACAGATGAAACCAATGTAGCACCTCTTGCCACTACGCCTAGCTCGCCATAATATTTGTTTAGGCTTAGAACGCTGATTTAGGCAGCGGAAAAATTAAAAAATTGTCATTTGCAGCAACGTTCAAAAATCCCCGGCATTCTGCTACACCGAATCGTAGACGCAGAGCAGAAGGAAATCTGGACACCGAGGAGGATTCGGATTCTGATCAGGCATCCACCACTATAGATGAACAGGAGGACCGCGGAAGTGGGACCGATGAAATAAAAAAGGAAGAGGAGCAGGAGGAGAAAGTGAAGAAAACGCCGCGTAAAAAACGTCGATTCAGGCAAGGCTTAATAATGAACGGCTGTCGCCTCACTGGGTTTCTTTTTTTTTCTGGTATTTTGAACTAAGCGACACCAAAATTGCTAGAATTACTGTTACCACTAAAACAGCTCACAGTGTTGCGGAGTTTTTGATGTATTACTCTATTTTTCTATTTGAAAGCTGTCGCGAACGTAGCCACTTTTTAGACCGGGAAGGAATCAGTTTCTTTTTTTTTGCAATTTCCAAATCCTTCGAATCGTGACTTGATATCCATTCGTTTTGCTCCCCAATCTTGTGTTGCTCATCAAGCAGTTCGAGCTTTTGAATCTTTTGACATGCATGCTGTGTAGTGTTAGATGTTGATAACAGAAGTAGCACAGTTTTTGCCGGCTTTTTGGTTTTAACTATGATCGAAATCTTCATGTTTATGATTTTGTGCCTAGTGTTTCATATTTCCGAATAGTTTAGCTAGCTGTGACGAGAAGAATGCTGGAAAAGTGTCAATTGAGAGGCGTATAATATACCACTGTTAGTTCGCGACAAGATGTAGACGGATAGGAGGACACTTAGCTGGCTTTTATCTTGGTAGTGGACATTGCTTTTCAGTGAATGAGATTTAAGAAACGGAAAGCGAGTGCTCAAAGGGCATTTGATATGATGGTGTACATTAGCTAGGACAGGAGGCCTCACTCGTTACTCTGAGGTTTTACGACTTTTCGAAAAGTTAACGACAAGAGGCATTGTGTGGGAAATTACAATAGGCTGCAGCATGAATATAATTTTTTATGAGAATTACAGGTTAACTGACTCAATAGCAAAGAGTAGAAAAAGAGCAGAACGAAGAGCGCAGCTAGCGGCTGAGCGCAAAGAACGGGAAGAATCACAACAAAAGCAAGAACAACAGCAGCAAGAGCAAGAGGTTTGGTTTTTTATGAGTATTTTCCTCATTTTTTGCCCGTGCGTTTATATACTTTATGACAAAGTCATGATAACAACCCATGTGAATGTGTAAATGAATAATTGAATAGACAAGCGCGTAACCAAAATACCAAGAATACCAAGGAAGTCTGGATTATCAACGTGAATATCCCCTGTTAGTGATATTACTAGAATGCTCCCGCATGCCAAACGCAGCTGCTGGCTGGAGTGCCGAATTCCTGCGGTGGTGTACTGCCGAAACAAATTGCCCAATGTAAATAAATAGCGACGCGCACAGGGGTAACTGGTGTGATGATGCGTTTTGTACAACTCTGCGCAACGAACGCTTGTGCAATTCTGTCCGGCGGGAGCTTCTGCACCTCTGTTCAGGGGAAAGTTGCTGTTAAAAAATTTCCGTTACACTGCTGTTTGATAAGTACATGCTAATTTTGGTGGCTGAACTTTACTGTTGGTTCCCGAATTATTAATTTTGATGCCAAAACTTACACTTGTTCGTGCATATGATCTAGGCGTGCGCAGAATGATTTATACGCGGATAAGGAACAAAATCCTAAAATTTCAGCGTCCCAGCTTCTATGGTTCCTGATTTATTAATTTTGGCGCCGAAATTTTTGCGTGCCCATGCCAGAAAATTAGTGGTGCGCACGGGCTGAATTAATACCTGAGCAGAGCATTATAGTAGAATTTCAGCTTCCTAACTTCCACTGTCTCTGAGCTATTAATTTTGGCGCCCAGAAATTTCACGTGTCCCTACGTAAGGTTGAGGCACGCGGGGAAGCTGAATTTGAGCTTGCGGGGTCTTACGCGGGCAAGAGGCATTCTGCTAAATTTCCGGTTTCCTAGCTTTACTAGTTTCCGATTTATTAATCTTGGCGCCAAAAATTTCGCATGCCCGTACATGAGACCAAAATGCAACTGAAGGCTGAATTTAATTTTATGAGGGTCACATGCCAGCAGAGAACATACTCTTCTGTGCTTCCGGAGTTATTAATTTTGACGTCACAACTTTCACGTGACCGTATATGAAGCCTAGGCTCACCCAAGCACTGAATCTAAGTTTGCAGTATCACACGTTGGTGGTGGATCCCCCTTAAAATTTCAGCTTCATAGCTTCTCTGGTTCCCCAGTTGAAACCCCCCGGATAAAATGCATTCGGAACACACACACACAGGGTCTCGACAGTATGCTCTTTATGCAACTACTGCCGCACAAAACGCATAAAAAATCAAGATGCTTAGCCAGTTGGATTATTGCACATTACTCTGTCCCACTCAGTTCTGGATTGAATAAATAGATATTAAAACTGAATGCATATACCGAAGATATGCATTCAGTTTTAATATCTATTTATTCAATCCAGAACTGAGTAGGACAGAGTACATGGACGCATATATTTTTGCATATACATATACGGATGCATATCTACATATATATATATATATATATGTGTATATATATATACATATATATACATATGTACACATATATATGTATATATATGTATATATATATGTATATATGTGTATGTATATATGTGTATATATATATATGTACATATGTATATGAATGTGTGTATATATCTATGCATATGTGTATACATATTTAAGGATAAGCAAAATTGCGACTAGAAAAAGTAAAAAGAAGTAATGATATAAATGAAAAGATTGAAAAAGTGAAAATATAAA